CCGGAGAGCAGAATGCTGAAGAAAATTGAGAAGATGCTCGCGATTCGGAACCAGACCGTCAGGGAGATGCTGGCAGAAACTCTGGGAATGTTCATCCTGATGGTAAGGAGGAGATGGGCTCACGTGTGCATGTCTGTGTGTGCGTGTGTATGGAGGGTGGAATGTAAGTGCTTGCAGCAGCAGGTTGTGAGTTCAGGGTTCTTCTGCCACATCTTCGTGGTTGCTCCCCAGCTTGAGGTTGCTGCTTAACTCTCTCCTCTGGTCTCCTGGCAGCCTCAGATCAGGGTGGACAATCTGATGAAGAATATTTGCTGGAAAAGGCAATTCAAGTGGTAGGTGGGGTATGGAAAGAAGGTGAAGTAGGTTGAGGTGAAGAGTCTGCTTCTCTTTTGAAAGTCTTTGGAAAAACAAAAGGAGTCTTTGAATGAAACCAGACAGCAGTGCCTGGTCAGATAGGGCTTGTGACAAACTCCCTTCAGCCCACAGTGAATTGGTGCTRTCCCCTCCATAGTGCCATGGGGACAGTGTGGGCTGTCACTGGTGCCTGCCTGAGATCCTGCTCGGGGCCCAGGGGAGCAGCGGGCGCCTTGCTCTGTGCTCCTCTGCCCCTGGCAGCCTCCGTGGGATGGAAATGGCTCTCACTCCTCTTCCTGCGGGTGCTGCGGGGGCAAATGATGCTTGTGAAAGTCTCTGTGGCCACATCCTACCATGAGGAAATGTAATTGCCAGGTGTACAGTGTGGTGGGAGTTTGCTTTCAGTTGTCTTCTGCTGGCAAATGAGTAGTGTTTACCCCAGTTAGCCCAAAGAGCAGCCCAAAGCAGAAATATAGGTGCTGCAGAACACGCTGACTTATTTTGTGGAGGGACATGTTACCTGGACCTTGTTCTCCTTGGATAAACTCTGATAGAGCTTCAGGTAGCCCCAAGTGGTTGGAGAGGCAGAGTCCTCAAAAGCAGCTTTGTCTTTCTGCAGTGAAAATAAATGATTTTTCCAGCACCTGACCACATTGAGAATGAAGTGTATTTACTTTTGGGACAGAGCAATTTGATAAACATGCATTTTCCTGCTGGAATAAAGTATTTACGCTTCTCTCTAATTTTTTTATTGGCTGCCTTTTAGTCACTAAAAACACTGAAATCTTGACTATTTTCAATTTGTAAATATATGCATCGAAAGCAAAAGTCAAACGAGATTTTTTTTTCATTGGTTCTGGCCCAAATAAGTTACCAAAATCAGTTAAGTTTTAAGTTAAATAGCTTTGCCTTGAGCAAATTACATTTTTAGATAATAAAAGGAAAAAAAAAAACCAAGAATAAAGAAAGGAAATAAAGAAAATTTTTCCCTGCCCTCAGTCCATTTAATGAGAGCTACTGTCTTTGGGATGCCTGTGGTGACTCTGTGTGGATTCACACCCCTCATTTCATGTATAGAAGCTCTCACCAAGATTGTGAGTGATTTCATTTGAATCTCAGACCACAGTATGGGCTGCTTTGGTTTGTGTCCTCTGCACTTGAACACAGACCCAAGCATCTGGTTTGATATGATAGGCACCAAAAAGGAATAGCCAGGCACATGCTCAATTTGTCTCAATTTTTACAGRCTTCAATCTTGTTCGATGCGCTGGGGATAGGTACCTTAGAGTCTTGCTACTTGGGAGAGCCTTTGGAAACTTGCTAGTGTTTCTGAAAAAGTACCAAGGAAGCTGAGTCCACCACAACAGTACTACTTTTAGTTTTTAGTGCAGTACAACTGTAATACTTTTAACATTCCTTCTTTTTCTTCTCCTCCCTTTCTTCTCTCCATTCACTAGCTCTTTGGCTTGTCTTCTGCTTGTCAAGTGACTTTAGGACGAGGAGAATATGGGCAGTATTTCAGCATCAATTTGGGATTTGGCATTGGTGTCACCATGGGGATGYATGCAGCTGGAGGAATCTCTGGTGAGTAGGACACCTGAGTGTATGATGTCTTTGTCCTSTGAAGCCCATGGGTCAGGGACAGCAACACTGGGCTGTGGAGCTGCAGGTGGCTGCCTCCAAACAGAGGCAGTGCCCTCGCCCACAAGAAGCACAGTCCTCCATGCCCAAACAAGAACAGCAGAGCAGGGCCAGGGCCAGCCTTGTGATCCAGTCATCACCAGAAAAGTCCATAGGGGTGAAGCAGGCTTGAGGCCAAGCCAAAGAGTCGAGATGGGAAGGCGACATCGGGATGAACAAGGTGCAAGGCAGGCAC